GGTAGCGCCCTCCCCTCCCCCCGTGCCAGCCCCCGACGGCTGCCGAGATCCGGCGAGCCGGGGTAGCGGGGTGCCGGGGTCCAGCAGAGGGCAGCAAGGTCCCACTTCTGCGCTTCTCAGGGTGCACCCTCTGTCCCCGGCACCCGTTGGCCCTAGGAAAGGACGATCCCCATGGGCAGGGAACCCCCGAGGCACTGCAGCCCTCACCACCCACGTGGCCCCACGCCCCAGAGTTATCATCGGTCCTGGCACCGTTCCCACCGTGGCAGAAACCTGTCGTGAGCAGGAGCACTGCTGCGGGCTGCCTCCTTTCTACACCTTTGGGACCAGGCCAGTGGGTCACCCCTCCCCATGCTGAGATGTCACCCCCAGCCTGTGTCCCTGCACCACCCCTGGGACACAGCTCAGCCCCCCTCCACCCTGCCGGTGTGTCTGTGTGGGGCTGCTTAAGTTGGCTTGGCTTCTTGCTGAGATTTATTGTGCCTCCGAGAGCCAGAGGCTGCCAGCCTGATACCATCAGCCCCTTGTACACATCAGGGCAGCTTTTATATTAGTTTTCTTTAAACGGAGGATGAGCTTCCCAGGCTGGAGGAAATGTCATTTCTCTGAACACTTCCATCTTGTGTCGGTTCAGACATCTCTGGGCAGCATCTCAATCACCCTGGAGTGGGGCGAAGGATGAGGATGGAATACAGAGGCTGGGGCATGTGAGGACAGACAGCCTAGGGAAAGGGACCAGTGTTGGCCAGGGCTGAAGGAAAAAGTCCAGTGATGGCAGTGGCCTTGTCTCCTGTCCCCTGCAGCCCCAGGGAGGCAGGCATGGCTGCAGGGGTGTGTGAGAAGGGCAGGGATGCCCGTGGCTGCCAGGGTGCAGAGGCCAACTGTGAAGTTGTGCTGGCGAGAGCACAGCACAGTCCTGGAGGGCTTTGCCTTTTCAGCATGACAAACCCAATTAGGTAACAGTGAGTGTATGCAGAGGAGGAAGAGCAAAAGGAAGGGCAGAGGAGAGCTGGCCTGTACTGGGAACATTATTTCCTCCTTACAGCTGACCCAGAAAAGTGCCTTTCAGGGCTGGAGCACACATGTGCAGCCAGGGATGGTGCCTGAGGAACCCACGGGTGCCACAGCCTCAGGGCTGGGGTGGAAGGATTCCCGCATTGCATGTTGATCTCCCCACTCAGCCACCACATGCTGGCATCCCTATGCCATGCTCACATGCAGGGGAGACCCCATTAGGGAGGTAATTTTTCAACATGATTCCTCATTTCCCTGCTCTCTGCTGTGGAGACATGCTGACCTTGACAGAAATAGCTGCTTGTGCCTTGGCAGGCAGATCCCAGCCAGAGATCACAAGAGGCCCTGGCATCCTCCTCCCTGCCCCACACAGCTCCAGGACCCTTTCACCTCCCTGGGGCTCACTATTCCTTGCATCCCCCTGCTGCAGGAACCCGATGGGAGCAAGGTGCTGACCTCCAGTATCCTCACATCAGGTCATGCCAGCACACCTATGAGCACTGGGGGCACAAGAACTAGCCCCACACATTCCCAATCCCCCATCCCCATTGCTGCCAGTCTGTTGTGCCAGCCTCCAGCTGACACCCCAGCTCATGCAGGTATTTCTGCAGCTTACACAGCTCCTCACAGTATTTAGCCTCTGGAAGATGACGTTAAACATTGTAAGCAGCAACAAATCCTGATTGCTCTGAGGAGACAAGAGGGTGTTCTAAGCTTCCAGCCAAACATTTTCATGCGAGGGAAATGAGCTGCAGTGATACCTATAGACCCTTTCATGTTAGTTTTAATAGAAGTGTTTAATAGAATTATTTAATATAAGTGTTAAAGTAAAATTAAGCCTTTTGGAAACTTGCTGGAGTGAATCTATCTCATAACAATAGACTATTGTTTATGGAAGATTACTAGCTCTGAAGTTATGTGTTGTGAAGTTTTGTTCCTGTGTTCCTGGGAAAGCGATAGGGCCCCAGACTTGTTATGAGAAGTGGTAGAGAAGTGGCACCAGGAGCACCACCAGCTATCGATATTTAGTCTGTCCCAGTATACCCAGCTCATGGGACTGAGTTACTGGTGAAGCTCGTGATGCCCAGCTGCAAAACTTGGCCCCTTCACTGAGCAATGCTCATATTTGGAAGTAAAATACACAGGAAGTTTTAATAATCTATTGCGCACACATGAAGAAAATGTAAATATCACAGTAAGTTTTAAAACATTTTGCTTCTCTTCTGAGAACTGTGATAAAAAGGTCTATATAAGCTTAACATTGTAAAATGGGATTTATGCATGACTTCAGAAGCTATTTCTCATGCATCCAGCACTGCAGTAAAGAACGCCTGCTTTCTAAAACTCTAACACAAGCCTTAGAGAGTTCTCTTTGGCCAGATTTTATGGTACCAGCACCATGTCCTGCTCCTGCATAGGTGGGTCACCAAGCCCTGTTCCCATGTCCCTGCTCACACGTGCTTTCTGGGGCATGCAGTTGGCAGGCAGACCCTGGGCATGGGCACACAACACAGGAGTGAGTACTCCAGCACAGACACACTCCTGAGAACAGACAATCACTAGGGCAT